TGTGTTAACTTACTAAATCATATTCAGATACTCAGATCATCATTTCAATCTTAGAAATAATTTATCCTTAAGGTAAGCCTCCCAGAGCCTTCTGTATCTATTTTTATAACTAATCTAGATATCATTATAACAGAACTAATACTTGTAGTTAGAGCTTAACCATTAAACTACTATGCTCTTGTAGAGTTCACTTAGACCTTAGCATTTACTTCAAAGCATAACTCTGATACTTTAGTATACATATGAATTTTGTCAAACTTCTAATCCAAATAACTCATATAGGACTACAACCAGTCTATTAGTATATTAGGTCAGTCCAATATCCTTTTTCTCTGATTCATTCTGGTTGTCTGATTGGTAGTATCTCTGAGACTCTTAATCTGAAAGTTTTTACTATCAAATTACTAAGATCTGGGTATCTATTTTTCTGTACTAGCTTTTATAGTAGCACTGTTAAAGATCCAGCTATTTCACTATTTGGGTCTTTCTAAATGGACTTCTTGTTATCTAATTTCATTGAATTTATATAGACACAAGGACTTATCTAGTCTTTGCACTGCCCACTTGTCAGTTTGCATTCTTTTGTATAATTCTAACATTTCATAGATGCCTCATGATCTGCCAGTTATGCTGGTGCAACCACCATTGTAGGTATCCTAACCCAATCATTAGTAACAGCTGCTATAATATAAATATTATATAGGTAATTATTCAAATTTTTACCATCAATGAGATTTGAACACCTATTCTACTACTTGGTGATTAACAACTTAACTACTTCACAAGGTTATCACATCCTATTTAAAAGAATTTTATTTTATTTGAATTACTATTTTTATTATATTTTAAATACTCAACATTCAAAAAAAACTTAATACACTATATTCTATATTTAGATTAATTTATTATATTTAATAACTCATATTTTTTAAATAAAAAATATATATCTTCATATATAAATAAAATTTTTAAAAATAAACAATTATTTTAGCTTAATTTGTTTTTTTTTTTCTCTTAAGCAGTCATGCTAGTGTTTTATTAAAATTTTTGCAATTACATAAATATTCTTATAAGTTATTCTTATAATCATTTTCTTTACTAATATCTATATTTATCTAATACAAATATTATAATTATATAATTAAATATTTTCTTTTTAAGAGATGTAATAACTTAGTAAAGTAACAAGTTGTCAACTTTTAAGTAACAAGTTTAGTGTTTAAATTCCATAGACAATAATATTTGAAAATTATATCTGTATTATAATAACTATATTTGTTAATTAATTGAATTAAAGAAATAATCTGTAATTTTAAAGACATTATATTAAATGAAAACTCAGAATATCTATATGAAGTATAAGTTTATATATATATAAAAATGTTAAATAACTAGTATCATATAAAACTTTAATATAAACCCATAATAAAATTACCAGATGCATAATGCTAAAAAACTAAAGTACAGAAATTCATTTAAAAATTTTGATTAAAGAGGTAACATAAACTTTTAATAATATTATCAGACCAATGAAAGTTTTAAAAAAATAACTAGAATAAATTAAACAACAAATATATATAAAGAAACTATATTAACCAGGTTGCCAGTAATCACTATAGAAAAAAGATCTTAGAATACTATATTATAAAATTTAGATTGATAGTTTGGGAAGTTTTGTAAGTTCAAAATAAGAAAAAGATTTTGAAAAAGTAGATATTAAGGTTTTAGTGAACTTTATAAAAGCATAGTAGTTTAATAATTAAAGTTTAATTGCAAGTGCTAGTTTTGACTAAAGCAGTATTGAGTCAGCTGTAAGTATAGAATACTGAAGGCTTTAATAAGTTTAGTACAAAGTTAGATATACTTAGTGTTTATAAAATATCTTTACTAATTTACCAAGATTATTAATAAGATAAAATAAAAATTAATTTTAGAGTATTTAAATAGAGGATCTACAGATAAGTTCTAGATATAACAACTAATATAAAAACTTTAGATAAACTATTTAAATTAGACAATAACTAAAGTTGCATAAATGACTAGTTGTATACTCTTTCTATAGATGATCTTGTAGTTGTTGCATATAACAACTGCTAACAAAATATACTATTAATAAAAATTAAATTACAAATACTTATCTTAATATTAAAAAAATATACAGTATATATATTTTTTTTTATATAAAAATTATAACTTATTATTTTATTTAATAATTAAATAATTATTAATAAAACTAGAAAACAACCTTTTTTATCAAAACTATTTTTATTATTTATTAATAATATTATATTAAATTATAATTTATTTAGTTTTATTTTTCTTTTATCTATTTAATTATAAGTATATTTAGGTTATTCTTTCAACTTTTATATAAGTAGATCATAAGTATGATATTGTTGCTAAAATATTGTTCATTTGATATACAGCTTATCTGTTCCTTCCAACTAAATAACACAAATGTATCTGAGATTAATTATTTGTTAGTAAATTAGATCAAAAATAAAACAAAGATGTTTTTACAATATTTAGTCTTTAACAAAGCCAAATATATATCAGATTTTTAGCTTAAATTTTGAAGAATATGCTTGATACAAGATTATTATCCATTATCCATATAACTAAAATTACTTACAAGCAAAATACATTAGGTCATAGTAGAAAAAAAAACAATAAAAAAACTTTACAAAGCAAAATACAAATTATACCAGACAATACTATTAGCAAAAATTCTATCAAAAGCAAAGCCTGGCTAGAATGTTAAAAGCAGTACTTAAATACATGAAAAAAGAAGAAAGATTAATTCATATTTAGATCCTGACCTTGACAGCTAGAAGAAATTGAGATTGCAAAAATAGAAAGAACAGACTACAATGTATACAAAGTGATGGAGTTCATATGAAAAAATTTACTTTTAACTATAATATTACAAAAAATAAATCTAATAAGGAGCAAGAAGTGCAACAGTAAAACTGATTGAATGCTAAAGGAATTAATAATAAAAAAAATAATATATTTTGATATTTCAAACATAGAGCTCTTTCTCTTAACTACCATTAAGACATATAGTGCAAGATAATAATAAAGAATTTTTAAAATGTTCAGATGAAATTCAAACTCCAGAATATTTTAAAATTAGTTGCAAAATAACCAAATCAATATAAGGAATCATATATACTATAACTGCATTAAGTGGCAGGCAAAGAAACTCCTCTAAATGAAAATCTTTACAGCAAAAAATATCAAGAACAGAAGTAAGAGAGAAACTGCTATATGTATTTACATCATTTCAATATATGAAAACTGGTACAGGTACACAGTCCAGATGGGAGTAATCCCATTCTGTAGCAAAACTGAAGGTAACAACAGAATAAGAAATAGAATTATTAAAAATCTAAAAGTAAATACTTAAATGGTAAAATCTAAATATTTTTAATTGTGATATAAAAATCCAACTAAATTATCCCTCCTGGCATTCCTTAACAAGAGAGTTCAAAAAAAAAAAATTTAATAATATTTGATCAAAAGTTTGATATAATTGATTTCATTCAACAATATACTTAAGTTTTAATTGTCTAATAAAAACTTAAACAAGGATTCAGTAAAAACTAAAATAACTAAAATTTAATATTTTTATAATACTAAGGCTATTAATTCTCTTCTTTTATATTAAAAATAACAAATAATTACCTATCAATCATATTAAATTCTAAACTGTTCATTTAATCTTTTTGCAAAAAAATTTGTCTACAAGCTTATGATCTTAATTTTTCTGCAAGCACAACTCACTTAAATTATAACAACCATATACCTAACACACAATTATTAGTAAGACTACTCAAAAGAACCTTTCAGTCAATACTATCTTTAACTACTTTGATACCAATTTATCTTTATTCTTCATTTGACTTATCAAAATAACTTGATAAAAAACATAAATATATTATCTAATTGAAGCATATACTGTTGCATTGCCTATACCCAATACATAACTACCAAATAGTGTTTATCTGTATTTATCACCATATCAATTTCAAAGTAGTACAGTCGACCCTCAGAATCGTTAGATATGGTGAACATGTTTTGTATTAGCTTTAAGAGGTTATCAGACTTGAAAACATAGCAAATTATTAGATTTATATAACTGGAACAGACTTGATAGATCAATTTTTATTAGATTTGACAGGTTATCAGATTTGACAGGTTATCAGCTTTGACAGGATCAGTTTTGAAAGAGTCAACTGTAGTTACAAACCTAATAACTTATGTTCACATCTAATATAATACAAACACAAACTAGAAATATATGCTCTTTTTAGCCTGTTATTATTATTTCTGTTTGTATATTTTTTTAAGCAAGTAACAAAATCACCCACAATATCTGCAACTGCTAGTTTGTAATTTGAAAAGCAATTTGAAGGCTCAATTAAATTCCAAATTTCATTTTAATTACAATAAATATTATCAAACCAAAACCAAGTAGTACAATTTAATCTATTAAATATACTTGAGAAGAAAAACTTGAAACTTCCTTTCGTATAACAGTTTTCTTTATATCTTATATGAGTAATTACAAAATAAAATGAAAAATTCTAATATAACTAATAGAAGAGAGTGCTGCTATAAAATTTTCTTTGTAAAACCACCATCAATAAATATAAATACCAAAAATGTCATAATACTTTTCAAACCAATTTAATTGATCAGAATTAGTTTGTTTTGAAATATAGGACAAAAAAATTAACCCATATGGCTAAAACCAACAATAGAGACAATAGAGCCTTATATCTATAACATAGTTTAGTAAAGAAATAAATCATATTAATCACTCCAAATAAGAGTTTCTTAATAAATTAAATTATTTTAAATAAGAATCTTTTATCAATAATTTGAAATACTTCATATTCTTCTATTTCAAAAGTATCTTTGTCAATAATCCCTATTTTATAAGAGTGCTGTTTGCTTGTACTGATAGCAGTATTATGTGAAGAAAGATTCTTTATTCACAAATCTTGTAAGCCAAAGCATGGTCCTTTATTATTACACCAAACAATTGCTTTGTTCTTAGTATAGATATGACTTAACCAAGGAATTGCTCCTTTTGAAAATGAAAATAATGAAAATATAAAACTTTTTAATACTTTACATCTATAATTATTATAAACATTAGATGGTAATATTTTATTTCTATTATTAATTAATTCTATGCTATGCCAATCTAATGGATTATATCCACCAATTATTTCTTCTGAATTTAGGACTTTAATTATAACAACAGTTGGTCCCTTATTATCACAATTTTTATAAAACTTATTACTACTAAAATTTTATTCACTTGCATGATAAATAAGCTCAAATTTGAAAGGTATTTCTTTAAAATGATAAGTCAATCCTTGTTTGTTTCTGATCCAAGTTGCTATTAAAGCTGCATTCTTAGCATCAATAATTTTAGAATCAAAAGGATATGCTGATACTTTTTTTTTGTAAAAAATTGTGCTTGGGATCTAAATTATGGAAAATCTCATCAGAAAGATCTGGAAGAATTTCTTTATATTGAGCTTTAATCAAATGAAGCTCATGAAGAGACATTTGGAAAAATCTAATGTGAGGAATACAATTATGTGTAGTTTTTTCAAACTCCATGAAATCTGTTTGATTCCATTTAGCTACATCATCAGTTAAAATAGAATTGGTATTTTTGATTTTTCATTTAACTAAATATCTCCAAATTTCAATCTTATCTAGTCAAAGATTATCACTTTGCAACAAACAGATTAAATGATCTTCTTTTATGTTTAAGTACTCTTTTGATTTAAAAACAACCTTTGGATTTTTACAAACAAGGTCAAATGCAATATTATATAAATTAGCATCATTATGTTGGCATAATGAAATAAAATCTTTCAGAAATTTCCATGCAGATTCAATTTCAAACAGATGTTTTTTGAGTTGTTTACAAAGTTCAAGTAATTCAATTTCATTAGCAGAAATAAAAATGTCAATAAGGCTAACATTATTTTCAACAGAAAATATTTCAGTATAAATATAACTATTTATTTTTATGAGAAATAAATTTTTATTTTATTATTATATAAAAAAAAAAGTAATATATATAAATAAAACTTACTTTATAAGAATTTCAAATACCAATAGTAAAATATTAGGCTTATTAAAAATGATTATTCCATTTTTTCTTGTTGCTCAATGGGATGATAATGCATTTTTAAAGTAAGCAGACTTTGACAATAAAATAAGTGAATGCACTTTAAATTCCTTAATATTTGGCTCTTCACCAACTATAATTTTTATATCAAAACCTTCAGAACTTTTTAACAAATTTAACAAATTATTACTTAAAAATTTTTGATTAAAGTTATTATCCATGTTATGTATTAGTATTGAAAAATTAAACTTGAATAACAAGTTGTTAAAACATTCAGTCTAATTGTTTTTAGCCTTATTATATAAACTTCTTTCAGAATTCATGCAATGTATTGACTAATTTTGATCAGTCTATTGTTTACTTTTTCATTTTTAGTGATTAAAAAAAATGGAAATAACAAGGATGATTGTGTCAGATTTGGAAATATTTGTATCTTGCATTATCATTGCTCAATCAGATGACTTTATCAAAAAACATATGAGAAATCTGTTCACTATCATTACAAGATTCACTTCTAATCAACTAATCAATATTATAATTCCAACTCCTACTAATACCCTATAACCAATACAGACTACCTAACCTCATCCTACCTAAACCTTCTATGATCAGCTACAAAACTAACAATTTTGGACATACAAAGATGTCTTTACTCAAGAGAGACTACATAGCTGCTAGAGGATCAGGAGCATGCTAAAGCAATGTATAGTCTTTGCACTGACATAGTGTAGAGTCCCCATAGAACTCTAGTCATAGTGAAAAAAAGTGTCTGGTCACATGCTATAGATCATTTTTACAAATTTCAATTAGTTGTATTATAGATCTTTTGAAATTTTGATTTTTTTAAAAACTTCTAGTGATAGTTTCACAACAACTGGGCCAAATTCGATTTTTTTTTAAAAAAAAAATTCCTACAAAGTTGTAAAATGAAATAAATAAAAAAAATTTAAAATTGGTCTAGTTGTTTTTGCAAAATATTTGTATAAAATTTTAAAAAAATGTTGAACATCTTAGAAAAATAAGATTGCAATCATATTGTTTAAACAATTTCTTGACAACTACTAAATCAAGTTCAATGAAATTTTTTATTATTTTAATTTTATAGACAAATAGAAATTAAAATCAAAAAAATTTATCAAACTTGGTCTAGTAGTTGTTAAGAAATTATGGTTGTAAATCATTTTTGACCAATTATATTTGTATAAAGAAAACTACTTTTATTCAAAATTATTTACTAAGATGATAGTAAATATTATTTTTATTAAATATATCCAAGGTTATATACTAGGATGGTTAGTTAGAAAAGATTATTTCTATTAAACTGATAGCTACAGTTAACTTTTTCTATATTTAATTCTTAAAACTTAAAAAGCTTGATATAGTTTAAATTTAATTTAAATATTATAACAAAAGTTCAGTTTGACAAAGTTTCTTAAGAAAAATTTTTCTTAAAACTATTACTATTTTTAGATTATTAATTAAAATACTATCTGTATTTATATATATGTTATTTCTACATAATAGTTTGGTTATTTTTTTCATTAACAAGCAATTATATGTTAGAATTAATAACAAATAATTGAAGACTAAATACAAACTTATATAAATTATTTTTAATATATACATAGGTTATATGTATATGATAAATATCAGTTTTAAAATTTATTTGGTTGTATTTATTAATTAGTTTTAACTATAATTAATTATACAAGACTGGTTAAAACAGTAACATCTTATCTAGTTTATCTAATTACTATTAATATAAACATTGCATTTAAGAATGAGTTTATTTAATAATATAATACCCAAGTAATGATTCTAATAAATTATTAATTTCTAATTAAAAAGAAGCAGTCAAATAAAACTTATACTATATTATATATTTATTAATAGTAGAAGGTAAAAGCTCTTTGTAAATAATGAAATCATACTATTATAATTAGCAACAAGATATACAATAATATAAATACCACTAAGAGACAACTTGAAATCTGGTTTTCAATTATACTTGATACTAAACACATTTTATCCAATTTGTTAAGAACTGTACTCAGTACAAAATATAATTAAAATTCTGATTTTTGTTTTTCTCTTAATAATACTCATATATAAGTACTGTATATTATATTTATTATATTTAAAATTTTTTTAGAAGTTTAACCAAAATATCTTTAAAAAATAAATGAGAATAAATCTAACACTATTATTAGTATTTTCCAACAATTCTCTATTAAAAAGTTATGTACTTGTTACAGTATCTATAAAGAAAAAGAATATTTTTATAGAGTTAGTAATTCAAATAAATCTGATAGTTGTAATTAGTGTTCTGAAAGATGTAAAAATAAAAGAACAGAACCAACTAAATTTTTAAAAAAAAAGCAAAGTTAAAATCTAGTTTTGATACAATCTCAAGTAGTAGAACTAATACTTTTATATTTCATATAAATAGTAGTAACAGTGTTTTCATCTCTCAAATAAACACTTTACAAATAAACAATAACAACAATATTTCTATTTTACAAATAGATAATAGCAGTAATGCTTTCATTTTACAAATATATAATAGTAACAACATTTCTTCTTTTCAAATAAATAGTAGTATTGAAGAAATAGAGTTACTTTCTGAACAAGAAAACATCTTAAAAGATAGTACAAATGAAAACTTTAATAATAAAAATTATGGAAATGATGATAGTTTTCTATATAGTCTTAATAAAATTCAAGAAATTATAACTAAAAAATTCAAAAAGCAGAGAATAATAGTGAGAATATAAACTTTATTCTTGAAATTGAATTAAGCCAATAACTTCTTAAAAATATTTCATATAGTCAAGAGGATATTTATTTAGAATTATTTAATTTTGAAAAAATAAAAGATAAATTTTATCAACTTATAAAAATTCTTATTTTAGTATTTGAATTTGGATCTAAATATTACTGAGAAATTTGATAGCTATATCTAAATACTAGAAAAAAAAATTTAATAAATATATAACAACATATCTTGAATGCACATAAAGAGCTAATCATTAATAAAAAAAACTGAAAATTAGCTAATAAAATGACATTGTAAAATTAGAACTGCAATAGATAGATATGCATATATAGGAAATATTATATTAACAATTAAACTATAATAGCAGTGTATTTTTATTTAATATTAATATTTAAAAACTCATTTATATTCTCAATATTGTAAAATAGAATTTCTATTAAAACTAGAGAATGAATTCAAAAAACATTAAATATTATATACAAAATTATAAGCTTTATAAGTATCTCAAAGATGAAGGGCTTATTAATTCAAAGATTTATACTAATGAACAAGTATATTACTGGATATCAGTTTATAGTAGAAAAACCTATATTATAAATTTAGACAATCAAGTTTTATTAGTAAAATTATATCTTGAACAGTCAGAGTTTATAATAAAAGAATTTAAAATACTTACTTTTATTAAAAATAAATTTATAAAAGTTCTAGGTTTTATAATATTACTACTAAACTATATTGGTATTATAAATATAACAGAGATAGTTATTGATTCTATATTTAAAATAAATAAAAAACAGTTTAAGCTCTTTATTGTAAATACAAATTATAGTAATTACAGAATGTCTTTGGCATATTTGTATTTTTTAATACTAAATAGCAATAAGAAAATAATTTATGATTCTAAAAACAAAACTAAAACTTGAATATAAGTTCTGTAAAATTTTTTTCTTGATTTTGAAAAATGAACTTATTACTAATTTTTGTCCTTACTGATAAAAATGCTAAAGAGATTGCTACTATAAATAAAGCATAATTATAGATTACAAATCTTTAACTATACTATTAGTATTTAGAATATGTTATTAAAAAATAATTAAATAAAAAGTTAAAATTAAGTAAATATTATTAACCTGTAGTTTTTCCTTTAACCACAATGATAACAGAAACTGTTCAACTATAGTATGATGACTATAACTTAACAGATTTTATACAAAAGACTACACAAGACTTAATAAAATACAGAGTGATTTGGGATTTTAAGGCAAAGACAACAATAGATAGTATATAAAGATACTAAATATTGCATTCAGTTTATTCACTATGAAATGTATAAAGACACTTAACTTTCTTGAAAAGTCAGAAAGTAGTGCTTTTATAGATATTTTACATATATAAATTATTATAATAAAGACTACTCTATTGATAATAAATGCTATTTATAGTAATGTTAAGATATATAAGAACTAATA